ATTTTGACTCATTAGAGCTGTGTTTGGCTGTCTAAGAGATGCAGAAACTAGCTGTAGGCAACTGAGAGAAGGTAGGATTCTAAAAGGTATATCAATTTTGGCGCTTATCGCATTTTGGAAATAAACTCTTCGTTTATTTTATAACGAATTTAACAAGTGAAACGGTTATAAATCATAACAAGTACAGTTACGTTCATCAAAATACCATCAAGTAGTGCCCAAATGATCTACTTTGATGAATTAGCGCAACATTGCTGTGGTATAGGAGCAGTATTGTAGGGCCTGTAAACCGTGACTTTAAATGATTAGGTAGGCCTACATGGTGAAACAGTCAAGTTTTAATATGTCCCTGATGTCCCTGTTACTGCGTACGTACGATTAAATTACGTAAACGCCTCTACGTATTAGCAAATCGTGAACAAAATGTCGCCAGCCACAGTCTGGAGTGTTGTCAGAATTCGTATAGCCTATGGGTGGGTGCACATCCGATGCCGTCGACCAATTTATGACACTCGGCAACATTTTCTTCAGCCAAAACTAACAAAATAATGCACAAAATATCTGAACAGAACTGCCTACTCCTCCCCCACACTCATAGCTGCACAATCATAGGGGATTATTCACCGTCCTGCGAAATGTTAGCACTACTTACGGGAACACGACACCGTCAGGTTTCCATTTCATGTGACAGCCACATCTCTGACGCGCAACCTGTCTTCGCGACTCCGTCCCCTATTCTGCTTAGCATAGCATAGCGTATCCCAGCGATCCACGCTACTCATTCACGCAATCACCTGTTCGCTAGCGCAGGCTGCTCAGTTGGCATTCTAGGTGAAAGAGTGTGATTGTCTTCGAAAACGCGCTGCTTCTTCAACGAAAACAATGTGGCTGTTGCCAGGCAAATTTGAGTCCAATGTTCTATACTCGGTCAAGGTTTCATTGTAGAAACTCCGATTCAGACTAGGCCAGAAAGAATTTTTAAGAAATTCTTATGTCAATGCTACCGGGGCTATTTGCAAAGGGGTTCACCTGAAGAGAATATACTTAATATCTGGGTTGTGTAAAATGATACCTGTGCACGAAACTCGTCTTATCTTGCAACTCATTTTTAAAGTTAAGACGGGTCCCTACTCTGATTTTAGCTTAGACGTGTTCATGGTGTTCCGAGATCACTTCACTAAACCCATCCTAAGAAAGATGCATTAATTATGACTAGAAATTTGATGGCTGTCATGTTTCTTTTTATGGCTTGACGAAACAGTCTTCAGAATAAGGAAAGCCAATAAACCTTTTGCAAATCAAATTTGAATAAAAAATCCGAAAATGGCATGTTTGGGACTGGTAAATGGCAGAATTGGGACACAACAAAAAGCAAAATGCGACGGACGACGGGCGACGGCAGATATGGAATTCCATATGATCAACATGTTGTCTTTCAATTTTGGTGAGTTGACCGATGACTTTTTAAAGGACTTTTTACCAAAGTCACACCACCCCTAAAACAAAGGATATTTCCCTTACTGAGAGTATCCATTTTGGACAAGTATCCCTCTGCCGCAAAATGGCTAAATAGTGCCAGTTTCAGACCTGCTTGCATTCACATTGCTCAGAATTGGAAGGCTAGAGGTTCAGTGCCATGTTTCTTCAATTCCCTAATTCCATGGCTCTCAGAACCTTTTAGTATAAACTATTTTGAGCTTGGCAGAAAATTTTGGCCTTTTCCGGTGGGTACACCTGGCCTTTAGGTCAATGACTGTCAGTTTCACAATCAAGTAAATGGCTGCTTCGTGCACACATGGACTACCAATGAGGTATAAAACACCTTTACGTGTACATCTATACACCCTGATTGACTGGGAGTTACCAGAAGAAGATCCTATTTCATTAAGCCCAGTGGGTGTTTTTTTTCATTGGGTGTATTTACAGTATCACACCCTGTTATCTTTATTCTTGGTAGTTTTTCTTCATTCTGATTTTAATAATCTTGGGGATAAGTTAATTTTTCTTCACAGTTCATTCCTTCAGACATTCTCAGGCTGCAGAACAATTTCAACCATTGCTCTATTTTTTTGTTTCATTTTGCTTGACTTCATTTCCTCCCTTCGCAGTTGGCCACTCCCCCATCTTTATAGAATTCCACATTAACACAAATTGCACAGCCAGAAAAACAAAACCATAAATCACAATAAACACATTTCAAAACTTGTTACAACTTCATTAACTTTATTGTCCATGAAGACAGAGATCAAAATAAAAAACTTCTCTTTAATAAATCCAAAATTACGTGCAATTTAAACTCAGGAGAAATCTACAAAGAGTATTCCAGAAGATTTCATTTCATCATTTGTACAACGAACAGGCAAGGAACTGGACTTTCTTTTACTGAAAACTTGTTCAATCCACTAACCACAGATGGAAGAATGATCCACCCCCCCCCCTTTTAAGTCTGATTGGAAACAGAGTAAGTTCAACATCCCTCCTTGTCCTCAGACATTTCACTTCAATTCAATCCAGTTTGTTTTAATCCTAAAACACGGCAGTAGTTCAGAGACTAAAATAGCCGTCTTTACATTGTGGTAATCTTGGATTACAGTCAATTTACATTTCATCTTTACATTACATTAAAATTTACAAAAAAGAAATTAATACGAACATCACCATGTTATGTTAAAATGATAATATAAAAGAGTAAAATTTGTTTCAAAGAGTTAAGAAGAATAAGACAAATATGCTTATAGAAAGACATTCAGGAGAAAAATCTATCAATCCTACAACATTGAGAGCCAAAGTGACGACAAGATACATTCCAAAAATAATTCATAATTTTATTAAAACAAAACTGCACTTGAACATTGCAAAATTACATTCATAAATACCTAAGACAGTCTCCCTATTCAACACTGTGCAACTTGACCATGTATTCACATTTAATATTGTCCGCTGAGAAGTGATAATGCCCGTAAATCTCACACTGGCACCTGGATACAAGACAGTTTAATTGATTCTGATTGGTCAAGAGTCACGCTAGGCATGTGCAAAGTCCATATAAGGAGATTCTTTGTGACAACTATAAATTAAAATGGACAGGGTATTTAGGAAAATGAGGGTAACATACATTTTAAAACAAAATCACTTGTGGCTCAGGCATTAGTCACGTCTATTCTCCTTAGCTGGTCTTAAAGGCACTCTCAAGACTGGCCATATTATTCCCTTATAAAAAAAAGTTACACCTCCAAATGGGGCAGTTGGGAAAAAAATCAGTCTCATCACATTATTTACATACAGACCCAAAGTAGTGACAAGGTCCCCAATAAAAACATAATGCTTAATACACATCATGGCAAGTTTAAAATTGAATTAGGTACCTGAATAAAATGGAATTAAAAAACAAGCAAACATTCACATGTGAATATGAACTCTAGCCCATGCAGTGCAAAGTACTAGTTAACCAGCCAACTTTGTTACAATGCTAGGTTAGCATTCCACAGCATACTGACTTACTTGGCACAAATGGTAAAAGTCAATTCCCAACCTCCTCAGAGAAAATGAAACTGATGAAAATGAAACTTATAATAAAGACAAACAAAACCGCACATTTCCCCCACATTTGGCCTAAATTAGCTTCACTGGCAATACACCATCATCGCATCAAAAATACAACCCAAAACCTTGTGGAATGAAACCGATGAAACATTAAAACAAATCAACAGAAACAAGGGGGTCTTTTTGCCCTCCCAAACACTTGAAACTGACAGCAAAGCTTCCTGAAATCTCTTTTTGAAACTTAGTTATATACACATGCATGTAACTGATGAACATCATTTACTGCAACGGTTCCACAGAGAACTGTCAATCTCATGCACCCACTTATTTTGCTGTACTTTCCCATGATGAGCATGGATGCTACCGTGTGTCTTGTGGTTTTCCTCGTCTTCAATGATAGATGAGTGCTGACTCTCCAAGATGGTTATGACACATTTGTAATAGTTGATTTAAGCAGTACATGTCAATCACATTTTAATTCAAATTTTACCAAGAATTCATGAGAAGAATATACAACATTTGAACTGTAAAGAATTAAATGCTAGTGAGTTCCATGATTTTGATCACTTGTTACAAAAAGGGAGGAAAACATGGCTGTTAAATAGAAAGCTGTTTACAAATTGATATAAAATGAAAAACAAAACCCTCTTTATATTTCAACTAAATCAATGCATTATTGTTTGCAAATATCATACAAAGACAGAACACCTCTTTGTACACGTATGTAAGACTAGTTGTAAAGGAAGCAAGTCCTTTCACTTGCACTTTACTCAATAAATAAACATACGATGCCAACATCACAATACTGTCAGAACTCCTGGCTTTGTACACATATATTTACAGTGTTGATATTGTGGCGGTTTCTCCTCCGTAGTCAGTGAACCCTTGGCTCGCCGGGCCACTCAGCCCGGTCGCGGCACCGCTCGCGGCACCGATTTGGCCAGGGCCCGGATCCGTTTGGGTGGAAATATACCGCCCGTTACACCAAGGACAAGGGATGCTGAACGAAATGGCACGCCCAGCAAAGATATGTGTGATACCATCTACTTCTAGCTGGTTTATTCACTTTAACTCACTTCCTCAATGTGTGAGGTACCCTAACAAACTAATGCTAAACATTTACAAACGGCAAGGAAAGGGCATGAGGACCCATTGCGCATCCCCTCGCCCTGCCAAGATACACTGTCACAAAATTAAATGAAGGTACAGTACCAGTTCATGTATTCACATCAATTAGTTACAAACGCCCTGTCAGTACCCAATCCTTATGCACAATCCAAGATGAACTAACGGTTTAGTCACAATTGTCTACACATTAACTAAATCCTGGTACCAAAGTTGTGTCAGTCAATCCAATCTGAACTCCTCAGCAGCTCAGCTTAGACTGACTAATTTCCCAATGCTAACATTATTTAATTTCCTCCCCGGGCTCTGTTTTCCACAGTCTTGAAAACATTATCTTAGCACAAAAATGCAAAACAATGGTCCACAATACCCATTTCAACCTTTCTTCCATTTACTTATTTTTATCATACTCCGGATATTGTCAAACTCTCCCCCCTTTTTCCATCATGGCAGTCTTATTAGTTCAGTTTCCCACTTTCCACAACATAATTTACTCACCGAAAACACATTGTCAAATCCCCTGACAGTTACACCAATACCCCTTTGTTCCATACCCCTGACTGGACATACTTGACGCCCCCGGTTTCCAAACTTCCATCCCTAACCCGAAACCTAATTAAGTGCATCAGTCCGGTCAACCCCACTGCCATTCCTCTGGAGTTTAAAAGGTCACCAGACATTTGTGTTACAATATCTCCAATGACAAACTGTGTAGTAATGATGTGTCACAGTTGGTTCCTCATCATTAACAGATTACATGGAAGCCAATGTCACCACCTCCCTCTTGACTCCTCTGTAAAGATTGTCCTCAATCAAATCAATGCAGAGTTGAACAAAATTAAGAATTGTCTACAGAGCACTGTGGTAAGAAACGATTTGTAAAGCATATTCTTTAAAACTTGCAAGATACAACAACAATATTGTTCATTCTCAAGTCCACAAACATTTTCAAGGAACATTAGCTCAAAGGATTGGATTCCCCAGGTGATTTCATGCAGCTTTTTTAAATACCCTAATCTTTGGCTCACGCATTCTCCTGAGCCCGTTTTAAATGTAATTTAAAACTGGCCAAGCACTTCATCCCTTAAATACAGAAATAAACAAAGATACTGGAATTTAAAGTTTAAATGGTGAATGATTTTTCATAAGCAAAAAAGGACCCATAGCTTTTGCAATGAATGTAAATAATCAGCAAAAACAAAATAGATTGCTCACAACTTGACTCATGACTTGTGACTCGGACTCGAGGTTTGTGACTCAAGACATGGTCTCAGACTCGAGTCTTGAGGCTTGGGACTTGGACTCAACACTGGTGACTCGACTACAACACTGGCTGAAATTATCTGATAATTCACTTTAGTTTAGGCACACTCAGTTTTCATAGCATGTTGGCAGTTACAATGTCCAAGGTAATGTGATTTACTTTAAAGAATAATAACAATTTATCCCAAACTGCATTAAAAATTCACTAAGCGAAATGCAAATTTTCTGAGCACTGATCACAGCAAAACCTCAAATTCCAAAAGCTGTCTCCAGTGGGGACCCCCCCATTAGGCTAGTATTACTAAAAAACTACTTCAGTGGTAGATTTTAACATTTATTGTCTGAGATGCTGACTCATCAGTAATGAAAAAATGTAGTAACCTAATCTACTAGTTGTTCCACTTTCTATTTGCACTTGGTTGAGAAAATAAAACACTCCAATTTTTGTCATGACTTTGGAATATGTTCATCAATTAACCTGGTTTACTTTCTAGGATTTTATGCTAAATGTCAACGATGAAACTCAATAATAATGGTACCCTAAACATTTGAGTTACACATCTGCCAGTCCACTTTTTCAGACATATCTTGGGTTGTTGGTCCACTAAATTTCCTCCATTCATAACTCATACAAAAATATTTCAATATATGGAAACATCTGATTTAGCTGCATGTTTGTACAGCCAAAGACTCTTTGACTAAAGTGGAACTATGATGGGGATCTCCATCAAGCGAGAAAACATTTCTGGTGGGCAATATGGGGTGAAAAATACTCTAACATGGATCCCAGGGTCACTCTGTAACTCACTCATGTGCCATTTATCTTCCTGTGCCATCTTACAACTATTGAGTTCCAGGTCCTTCAGGGCCTTGAACATCTTTATCTCTGCACAAAACGCTGCTGCGGCACCGCTCAGGTCATTATTAGAAAGATTTAATTTAACCAAGTTGGGTAGATCACGAAGTGACTCTGCAACATGTATCATGTCCTGTCCATTTAAAGAGCACAACCTAATGTCCAGGTCTTGCAGTGCCTTGCACTGCCCCACCTGCTTGCACCATAATGATGCTGTGCCACCAAGGTCATTAAAAGAAAGATCCAATGTAACCAAGTTGGGTAGATCCTTTAGTAACTCAGCAACATGTATCATGTCCTCTCCATTCAACGAGCAGCTCTGCAACTGCAGTTTCTGCAGTGCCTTGCACTGACCCACCTGCTTGCACCACAATACTGCTGAGCCACTTAGGTTATTACCTTGAAGGTTCAATGTATGCAAATTAAGTAGACCACTGAGTAACTCAGCAACATGTGCCATGTCCTCTGCATTCAATGAACAGTACATCAAGTGCAGGTGCTGCAGTGGCTTGCATTGCCCCACCTGCTTGTACCATAATACCGCTGTACCACCCACGTCACTCTTATCAAGATTCAATGTAATCAAGTTGGGAAGGCCACAGAGTGATTCACCTACAAGTACCATGTCCTGTCCATTCAATGAACAACAACACAAGTACAGGTGCTGCAGTGCCCTGCAGCGGCCCAAATGTCTGCACCATAATGCTGCTGTACCACCCAGGTCATTAAAAGAAAGATCAAGTGTAACCAAGTTGGGTAGATCCCTAAGTGACTCAGCAACATGTACCATGTTCCTTTCATTCAATGAGCAATCACTCAAGTTTAGTACCTGCAGTGCCCTGCAGTTCCCCACCTGCTCACACAATAATGCTGCTGCACCATCCAGTTCAACCTCTGCAAGATTCAATGTAACCAAGTTGGGTAGATCCCTGAGCGACACAGCAACATGCACCATGTCCTGTGCATTCAGTGAGCAGTAACTCAAGTTTAGGTGCTGCAGTGCCCTGCACTGCCTCACCTGCTTGCACCATAATGCTGCCGTACCACCCAGGTCAATATAAGAAAGATCAAGTGTAACCAAGTTGGGTAGTTTCCTTAGTGACTCAGCAATGTGTGCTACACCTTCTCCAGTGAACTTTGGAAGACTCAAATCCGCATGCCGCAAATCCACGCTCTTCACTTCAGCGAGGTAGTCATTGCCATCAGCCTTTGACTGCTCAGCAAGACCTTCGAGAAAGAATCTCACTGAGCTGTGACTATCACTAAAAAAATTGTCAATGACAACATGATCAGATACAAATGACTGTATAAATTCTTCAGGAGGCAAGATTTTGCACTGACTTTCAAAGTAACAGTGAAGTGCTAAATGACCTAACCTGTTGTCAAACGACAAATCCTCCAGATGCGTCTTCTGAAATACCTTCAGTATCTCTAAAGTACTTGCCTCATTGTTACCACAACAAAAGCGCAGAAGATACTCAAAGTCAAACACGTTCTTTGACATAATTTCAAGCAGTGTATTCTGAAATTCTTCTTTGTCTCCTTTCAACAGGTTTTGCAAGTATGAAGCACCGCAAAATTCCTGGAATGTCTTATGAATGAACCGTACAATGCTGTGAGGGATTAGCCTCTTCCTGTCACTCTGTCTGGTCACAATACCTGCTTTTAGAGCCATGCCAAAGATACTTGGCTCAAACTCACTTTCTTTAAACGTCAGCTCTTGATTTGGACTGAGAAGACCACGTAAAGCAACCTCGCCAAGTGCCATCGCAACTCTAGACATGTCTTCTTTTGATAGATCTTTTCTTTTGCCAACGTATTCAAACGCACTGTGATAGAGGTCTGACATTGTTTGTGGGAGTGTGGAATCTTGTCTCCACAGTAAACACATCAAAAGAAGCAGCATTGGACTCTCTGCCAAAGTGGAAAGAAGGTTAGAGGAATTCACCCTGCTTAGAAGCCCACTGACCTTGTCAGGTTCACCAGGGAAAAATTTGTTCACATACTCTCTCCTGTCTTCTTTGTTGAATCCCATGACTTGGACATGTGTGAATGGTTCTTGAACTAGGTCCTTTGTTATCAATCTGTCCAGATATGAGGGGCGAGTGCTGACAAGTATAGTACAACCTCTACACATCTTTCTGCTTAGGATCTTCAGAATGGAACCGAAGGAGGATTTACTGAGGGAGGTGGTCTTCAACTCATCAAAGCCATCCAAAAGGATGAGGACTTTGTCGGCATTTTTCTCAATATATGATTGCAGAGCACCTTTCTGCATGTATTTAGCTGTTTCTTCAGCTAAGAGTTGATCAAAAACTGCTTCGACGAGATCCGACACCTGCTCCAAGTAAAACATTTTCAAACTGAATACCAGTTCATACTTCTGTAGTACCTGACCAAGGCCAACTGCCCAATCAAACGCAATCTTGTCAAAAAGAGTGGTCTTTCCTCTTCCAGCCAAACCACTCAGTACAGCTACTGGGATCATTTTTCCTGTTCTTTTTTTCATGAAGACTAAAATATCCTCATAACACACCTGTGTGCCCGGCACTGCTCCCTTAGCATTTAAGAACTGTAACCTACTGTACATGTCCTTGATGCATTTTTGGTCGTTAGCAAGCCATGGGTTCAGCTGTACATAGCTACCTGTGCCTTCATAGAACAACTTCAGTTCAGCTTTACATTTAGTGGCGGCAGCTTTGGATTCGACATCAAAGGCTTGGCATTCTGGGAGAGAAAAATACAGAGAACGGAGACACAAAACATATCATTTGTATTTCCTAGTCACCTTCTTACATGTAAAAATCTCATAAAAAGTTACTTAATTAACACTAAGGTGTTTTGCATTTGTGCCACAATCCAGGTAATAAATGTTGCACCACCAACATGACGTCCCCTTCTGGTAAATCTGACTGAAAAGTGAATTTTGGAAATAATTCAATGGCTGCAGACATTGGCTACATAAGCTGTTTGACAAGCACAACGGTTTATCCACTACGAACACAGGGCGAAAGTTCCCCTCGGTTTCTCTGTTTTCTCAGAATGATGCAATCTACATTCAGCATGTTCAAAATTCGCATCTTGGCATGAACAGAAAAAAACCCTTTTTAGCTTGTCGTAGTTGAGCTCTGGAGACAAATGACACTGCGTTTGATACGGGATGCTTCCATATTTATTTGAACAGATAAAATCAGAGAAAACATGTTTTCCTTTGAGTTGCTCTTTAAAATTTCTCAAACTTTCAATTTGTGAAAAATCAGGAGAAAGTAACACTTACCACAAGCATTAGAAATTCCGTTTCCAGAACAAGAAAAAATTCAATCTTCAAAGTGATGAATTCTGTATACACAATATATTTTGTATTTTCAATATCCGTAATAATCAGTACACATACCTGGTGACAGTGAACATGAGGTGGTAACCTGTGTGATTGGTTGCTGTGATGTTCTTGGTTGATTCTCTGACATGCCAACTGATGGTTGACCAGACTGGAGTGATGCATAGGCACCATCTAGGGTTAAACCAGAAGACTGTTGATCCGAATCAAATTACAACAGCTGGCCTGTGAGCCACTGCATGAATGTACACATTTTGCCCTTATCGTGGGTGACCTCTGTTGGCATGTCACCGCCCACTGTCTATTACAACAGGCAACTGTTAATGACAAAGTCCATGTTAAGGCTGAATCATGTCCAATGATTGAATATTCAAATATTAGACCTTCCAATTAATAAAATATAGGTATTTGTATATTCAGTTACCCCTCACAAAAGTGAAAACAAACTACATGGATGCATGTTCATGTGGCAATCTGCCTCAATGAGCTTCAAGACAGGGGGTCCATCTCCTAGTTAAAGGACACTATCCAACTGATGCTCACTCAACAGTGGTGATTTAATTATCCCCTCAGTTGCAATGAGACTGCTAACCACAAGTAAAAGAAAAACTTCCAGAAATGCTTGGCCTCACTGATGAGCATGTGCATCTGCTGCCTTCAAATTTATTCATAACATTTTCTTTTTGTTTGGTTGCTGTCTTTGTTTTTACCCCTCCGAATTGCATTTGGAGGTTATGAGCAGAACCATTCCTCAAACGTTATACCTATGGACAGCTACGCACCTGCTGAAATTCTTGTGTATAAAAATAAACAAATCATTAAAACAGAAATCAACTAATGACACTGAAAGCCCCCCCCAAAGGAATAGGTGTGTCAATTGACCAACCCAGCCAAGAAAGATTTATGGTGCTGACACAGAGCTAGATTTATCAAGATTTTCATTTCATTTGTTAGCCGGTTGACTTGAAAAGACAGTGTGGTTCTGCTTTGTGTGTTAATACATGTATCTACACTGCAAACTGCCAGCTTTCTAAATTTAGCAAGGAGCTACCTCTGACATTCACTTGGTCCAAAATAATCAATCATCCCACCCAAGTATTTTGGCAAAATACGAAAAGGACTTGACAAACCTACAGAGGTGCAACCCAAGGTGTCTTTTTTTTCTGAAAGATGAAGATACAATTTACACTAACATATGAAACTACTAGCTGTGATACAGCCCTACATCCCTGTCCCCTGTGGCTCAGTCAGGGAAGGGTGGAGCAAGAACTTCGTTAGCTACTGTAGGGGTAAATTTTGCTCTGTCCCCCCCCTCCCCCATGGCAAATCCTGGTGAGCTACTGTCCGCCTGGTCAGATTACTTTTTCAATGTACATGAAAACATGACAGTGACTCTAGTTGGATGAAAGCAGAAAATGACAACATGGCCGTAGCCCTCTCCTCTTACACTAGGAATAAACAATGAACACACATGGCAAGTTGTTGGTACCTTTTCTGTCTTGAACCTCCTCCAATGCTTTGCAGAGAGCTTCTGTCTGACTGACGTCATCAGGTTGTTTGTTTCTCCACGTGACCAGCATGTGGAAGATTTGATTAACAACACTACGGGGATGGTCTGCCTCAAAGTGTGAGACTTCTGCATGGTTGAAACCAAGTTTTATAGCCAGTTCTTTCCATTCATTGGCATGAATCTGTCTGGCTTTGCTGTAGAGGTCGTTATCATCCAACATTTCTGTGAAGGAGAAATAAAATACAGAGAGTAAAATAGATCGGAATCTTAACACTCCAATCTACTTTGTATAATGAACATGTCCATGTCCATGTCCATGTATGTGCTGAACGTCAGGACATTTTATACACATATACAATATGTCGTGTGTACAGTGCTGTTATGCAACGTGTCTGTCGTTGTATAATATCATGTACATATACATGTACATACATCTCGACATGCATTTCCTCATTGTCTATAATGTAGAGAGTTTTTTATCACAACCCTTAGATCATTCCCTTGGGGACATCTGTGACAGGGACTAATTTTGAGCTCTCTATTTTGCTGTATTGGGTGAGTTACAGATGTCTGGTATCAAACTTTAGAAAAGTAGCCTATATAAATTACTGTTGTCTGGTCCTGCTTGTCTGGTCTCCTCACAGCCAGGGTTTGTTCCCCACCTGTTGTCTGGTCCTGGTTGTCTGGTCTCCTCACAGCCAGGGTTTGTTCCCCACCTCTTGTCTGGTCCTGGTTGTCTGGTCTCCTCACAGCCAGGGTTTGTTCCCCACCTGTTGTCTGGTCCTGGTTGTCTGGTCTCCTCACAGCCAGGGTTTGTTCCCCACCTCTTGTCTGGTGCTGGTTGTCTGGTCTCC